CATATGTATGTAGCCTAAACAAACAAAAAATCCGTCCACGCCCCGCCCCCACACGCCTCGTTCACACATTATTCACGCACGCAAACACGCAAACACACACACACACACACATACACACTGTCACACGCATGCACGCACGCACGCAACGCACTTTCACTTTCACTTACACACACAAACACACACACACACACACTGTCACACACACACACACACACACACACACACACAGACACACGCGCGCGCGCGGGCACGGGTCACTCCATTCGTAAATTATCAACAGTTTATTAGGCCTAATCTCGAGAACGGAAACCGTTCGGAGAAACAGAGTTCAAGTTTATTTTCCCGAACGTTGGGAAAAATAGAACCAGCGCCTTAATAAAATTGTAACCTTACCTTGGTGCAAGCAACACACTCCATGAATATCACCAAATTTGGTATAATAATCCATTTAATCGAATTCACTGGCCACAAAAATAATTAATGTACGCAACAAATGAAATAATAAAAATAAACAATAGGCCTAAACAATAAAAAAAAAATGGGTAGGTTAAGCTTGAAAATATATTTTAAAAACATATTGTGCACTAGGCCGATATGCGCGAACTGAGTCTACAAAGCTCGGCCAGCCCCGGCCGAACAACCCGGACACTTAACATTTTTAGTCCGGTTGACTCGACCACCCCACCACATCCCTCCTCATGCAAGAAGGGCTTCCCCTTGTTCCCGGAATAGACAAAAAACTTCTTTGCCTTCCGTCCCAGGTCATATGACGTAGTAATATAGCATCTGCGCATGTCTATGACCTTATGAGTATGCATAGTTCAAGTTATGGAGACGATGAAAAAATGGTGGACCTACTTTCGATTTACCTGGCTCTGTCGCAAAAAGGAACAAACATTCAGTGAAAACGGGTGAAAGGGAAACAAAACGTGCGAGATTGTTAGCATTACTTAACAAAGATTACATTGGTTTATAAATTAACAAAATATCCGAATAAGATTGGCTTTAAAACGAGTTGGAACAACACTCCCCTAGGCGGGCGGCCGACTTGTCCAGACGGCCGAGATGGCCAGACAGTACTGTAGATCTAATGTACTACGCCTTGGCCTTGAGTGCAATAGACGAAGACAAGATTCCAGTCTGAGATCTAGGATCTAGACTCTAGAAAGCCGGAAATTGTGTGAACAGTGACAAAAAGTCTCTGAAAGGTACAATAAAAGACAAGTTTTTTCCCCCACTACAACAACAACACTGACCGACGACTCACCGGGCATACACAACCACAAACAAAATCTCTGCGTCAAGTTTGAATACTTCCGCCGCTTTGTTATTAAGCCAGGACTTCAAAGAGTGTACGGCAAGTTTAGATGAAAACAACTGATTAAATATTGTGTATTATATACAAGTATATTGATAGCATGAAACTACATGATATCATTTTTTTATACAATAATTGTATTTATCATCCTTTGATCTTGTTAAAGTGATCAAATCACTCAGTTTAGATTTTTTAAATAAACCAAATTCGTACTACTTTTTGGCAAGTCAATATCCATGTCAGGGACAGATCGTTCAGAGCGCTTCGAATTTGACCTTAGGAAAGCATACTAATTGACAGAATCAACCAATAGCTTTACATTTAGCTGAATACTGAGTACTTTTCCTGAATTTATCGAAAATAAAATCTTCGAAGGGAATCTTTTAAATTCCTGAATATTCAAAGAGTGCTTTAAATAGTGCATGTGAAGCTGGGTATTCATTTACCAATGTTTCTCTGGGCTATACTTTTAATATTCATAATTAGGATAATGGCTCAGCGTTGGTATGATAATGATTAATATAATTATATGAGCATTTTTTCCTAAAAATATAATGATGTGCCGAGGTGCTACGTCTTACTCATTGCATCGTTAACACAGATACCCTACCACACTTCCCCCAGTGAAGCTTCCATGAAAGAAAACATAACGAAAAGTGAAAGTTAGAAGAGTGAATTATATCGAATACAAGTTGCTATCAATAGGCTGCCACTATTATTATTTATGTGACACGAAGAACTGCGATGCTAGCTAACATTGGTATGAACAAGCTTACAGTTGCTGCTATTGTTGTCCATAGGCGTGTAAGCCTCTCGTTAGAAAGGTGACACGACTTCGATTATAATGCTTTTTATGGGTCATGTGTTCTGACTTTTTTGTGTTTCCTGTTAACAGACGGAATCAGAGGAAGGGGCAGGCCCAGAAAAAAAAGGTGAATGGAAGGGGTCAGAGAAACTCAGTCGGTGCAATGCTGAACTTGACTGTCCAACATTCTGCAACTCCATTCTCTCTTCTCATTCATAAATTCACTAGCTTTAGATTTTCACATCCACGCTCAATATGGAGAGTGGTACATTTAAAATGATACGCTTGTAAACAAAAAATGTTACTTTGTGACAAAGATCAGTTTACATGATATTACATATTCCCTTTGTGTATATATACAGACCATGGGGTGCAGGTTTAGTTGAAGGTCTACCATGATGTTTCTGGTTTAGTTGAAGGTCAACCATGGACCGATCTGACTCAACTTGTTTGGTTTAAAGGTCTACCAGTTTATACAAGCTTGGGGCTTGTCTCAAGGATCACTTTACATTTTCCCGTTACATCTATGTAGCCTACAGGTGTTGGTGGTTAAATTGCACTTTGTCTGGGGAATGGGTAGGGGGACCCTCGATTTCTTGAAAATACATATGGTCCCGTCTCGCGACTGGCTATCGCGACATAGGCTACTTGTCAATCAGAATATATAATCTTTAACACCGCAAAATCATCTGATGTAAACAATATCACAATTATGTGGAGCAATTCACCCACACACTGCAATTGTGGAACGCCACCACCCTTGCTCTAATAAATCCCCCCCCCCCCCCCCCACACACTTCTATAGCCTACCTTTCCGAACCCCCCCCCCCCCACCCCCAAGCACTAACTGGTATTACCGTGGCCAATCAGGTAACGCTACACAGTTGACCGTGGTCGATCGGACGGGACATACGGTAGACCGCTGTGGTTAGACCTTCAAACCAATGGCATCTTGTGCGATGGGGCTTGCAGCTTCAACCCCACTTGGACTTCTTCACCCAAAGGTTACTTCTCTATAACCAAAACAAAACATTTAACTTTTTAAAATAAACGAAACATAATATTCCGATAAAAGCTTCAACCCACGAACACTCAAACGAAACTTTTGAGGCATGACAATTCAAAAAGTGATCTAATTACTTTGGGCTTCTACTATACTACATGTGTATTTAATTAATTACTTTGATTAAAGCTTCATCCGATCAGGCACTTCTTCTGTTGAGGAGAATGAAATTTCATTGGTTTGTCCCTTAAATATAACGGGGAACGGTATATAGGCCTAATATATATATATATATATATATATATATATATATATATATATATATATATATATATATATATATATATTTATATGTGTGTGTGTGTGTGTGTGTGTGTGTGTGTGTGTGTGTATATATATATATATATATATATATATATATATATATATATATACATGTGTATTGGCCTTGCTTGGTTCAAGGCCTACACAAATAAACCAATGGTTCTATTAGACTCAGGGGCTGAAACTGCATCTACGCGCTGTGTGGTGTGCCTGGAGATGGTTTTTGACAAATTTGCACACCCCCGCAGATCCACCACCGCACAGACGAGCACGCCCGCCTCCCTTCCGCCTCCCTTCCGCGTCACTCTCTCTCTCTCTCTCTCTCTCTCTCTCTCTCTCTCTCTCTCTCTCTCTCTCTCTCTCTCTCTCTCTCTCTCTCTCTCTCTCTCTCTCTCTCTCTGTGTGTGTGTGTGTGTGTGTGTGTGTGTGTGTGTGTGTGTGTGTGTGTGTGTGTGTGTGTTTAATTGAGGTGTGTCATTGCGATAAGCTCACTGAGTTAAAATTGTGTACACTTGAAAGAAATTTTGAGCGTGTTAACAGTAAATTATGGCCATCGTAATGTATACGCCTGTATTCACTATTCTCTAGAGACAAACAATGGCACAAGCACCTTTGTATTGTATCAGTGAGTTGGGGGTAGTTTTTTAAAAATTGGAATCTAATCTTTTTTCTCCAATGCAGTAATGAATCAGAAAGAACTTAATAGAAACTTGCAGTTCTTCATCATGCGAAGATAGGGTCATTGTAGAGGCTGGGACCACATACAACTAGCAGAATTTTCGTATTCTGTTGTGGATGGAAAGCAGATAAAACATTTTAATCAAGAATGGTTCATCGTGACGGAAACACAATTCAACTAAAAAGTCTTTGGCAAATTTGCTCAGCATAAAAAAAGCGAAGGACACAATCATATGCATGTATACATAAAGACGCTTAGGTGAGTCTATTTTCCTGGTTTCAACGTGCATTGCCACTTCATGATTATAATGCTTTTGAATCAATTTTTAGTTTCACGTTTTTTTAAAATGTGTGTTTCACTGTCTCTTCAGTCATTACGTATCTTTTATAACATTAGCAATAACAATGTTGTGTCACGGCAAGACCCATCCTCTTTACAACACACCCGACGTCAATGTCTTCAACTAAACCGGCACCCCCTCCTCTACCTACCCCCCCCCCCCTAAGCTCACTCTCTGCCTGTCTGCCTGTCTGCCTGTCTGTCTGTCTGTCTGTCTGAACACAATCATGCAGGAGGCGATAGAATTTTTTTTGGGTTTGTTTTGGAGCAGTTATGCTCACAAGCGTCTTTAAACATTGTTCTTCCTATATACATGTAATCTACTTGGAATCTTCTATTGATAGAGTACATATTTTTTTCGAATTAGTGTTATATAATTGCATTACTTGTTTTATGTTGCTTTGTGTGTGGGTTTTTTTTTTTTTTTGGGGGGGGGGGGGGGGGGGAGTCATAGATCTACTGTTTTATGAAGTCCATCTGTCACAGACTTTCACTTTGTTTGTAGTCTGGAATTTGCGGCCTTTGGAATGACCTGCAGCCAAATTTTTTTTTTTTTTTTTACTTGCAATACAAGACTCTGTTTGGCCTTTAAAAATGTTATCAAAGGTTATTTTGGGGGTTTATATTAAATAGCCATATCTATTCCACTCTCATGTGATTTTTTTAAATGTTGAAGAAAACAGTTGGTCTAATTGTGAAAACAAGGCATTTTGCTCTAGCCCTTGCTCCGAGCTCTCTGGAAGCGGATGTTCATCTTGCACCTGCGCAGAGGATCGCCATATTTGTTAAAATGGATAAGGAACAATAATAATCCATCAGCTGCAAAATCTTTCGACTCGACCGATGTAAATATATGGCATTTAACGTCTCTGTGTATTCGCTTTTTTGGAAAATAATGGATTTGCCATGATCAACACCCGCTTTCAAACGTATGTAACTGTTTTGCCGACTGTTTTAGGATCCGTGTAGGAGTGACGGCCGACCCAGACCGTGCATCCGAGGTCGAGGACAGGTAACGGTAAGAAATTCTTTTTCTAATAAAATAAACGGTTGTCTACGGTTGTCACTTATGTACACATTTGAACGGTAGTACAGATTGTTTTCTTACTTTCCATACAAACCAGTACGCTTACACTGTTTCTTGTATCAGTGCAGTGTTAAAGGCCGATTGTTGATATTTGAAAGCCTCGATTCTAGATTTCTAGCAGTCACTCTGTAATATAAACCGTGTTACGTCGTATCACTACTGTGCAAACACCGCTGTGCTGCTGTGATTTGTTGTTAAAATGTTGCTATGTGAATGTGTGTAATTTATACTTTTATTTCTTTCACCTGAACCATGTCTTTTACTAATCTAGATTCTAGATTTTAGATCTACACAAAGCCTTTATTCAAGACTGGTTCTTCATCTTACTTACACAGACAGCAGTTGTTAGTTTGAATCTTTGACTGACTGACTTTTTAGAGTTAGCTCAGACTTAAAAATTTTTCTCTAAAACTGAAAGGGGCTAAATCTAGTCTAGACGTTTTACTTCTCTTGTCATTTAGTTTCTAGAAACAGAAGAAAGAGAACAGATGGTTGGTTCTATTATTTTTCTTTGTAAAGTGAGCATACATATATATAATATAGCTAAGTGTGATAATAAGTCTGTACTGAACTCACTGGGTCGTAACTTGCCTTGGCTTTATCTCTTCTTGCACTACTTTGTAGTGTAAGAAGTAAGGTGTTATTACTGAGAACATTCACCAACATGTAATTACTTCTCATATTTGATTTTGAGTTTGTTGCAGTGTAATTTCACCTAAAATGACAACAAACTTTAAATTCGCGCTAGAATCTATCTCATAATATTTGTGGTCCACAAGGGAGGAAATTCTTATTGAAAACATTCATATGTCATGTTATGTTATAAAAAAGCTCTCAAACAGTGAGAACTGAGTCTTTATGATGGTATGTCCGTATACGAGTAGAATCACAGGTTTTAATTGTGCAAGTGAACTTTTGCTTGGTCAAGATACAGTGGCCAGTTATTGTGAAAGCTAAAGATCTTCATCGCTTGAGGGTAACCTGACTGTTAGCTTCCTTTTTCTAAGTACTTTTGTAATGGTAGTAAACGTACCCCAGCAATGTTTTTGGAGCTTGAGTTAAAAAAATTATACATGATGATTTTGTATTTTGGGTAAGATTGTCTTTTTTCTTTATTGACAAGTGACATGGCTGTTGTGATCTCACAAGTGTGTACATGCATACCCATGTCCACTCAACTTCAAACTAGGCTTAAGTAATATATCTGAACTAAAAGATTATTTTAAGTGCCCAAAAATGTATGAGGTCACTCTTTCTTTTTGTGAAAGAGAGGAGCATTACTAGTTGGTGCAGGTCCACATGACAATCTACCTTGACAATGCAGTCTATAGTAGGTCCAACCATTCTGACGGTCTACAATATGACTTTATTGTGTTGCAAGTGCCGTAAAACTCTTACAAATAAAATAATTCTGCACTTAGATGCGCTAAATTAAAGAAATATTGGGGGGGGGGGGGCAGACAAACTACAACTACCTAAAACATTTTTAATACAGCCAATGACAGTCTTAAGCCTGTATAAATGCAGAGCAAAAATTTTAATGTGTAGTATTGTGGATTGTAGTGACAGTCCAGTGGATTAGTTGTTAGATTGGTCTGGTAGTTAATAGAATATCAAGTAGAAATATTGTGTAGACATCCGCACCTACCAGTGTTGTATTCCTTTGAACTTCAATCAGAACAGTCATTTCGCAGAGAGATCAAGTTGCGTGTCCCAGTTGCCAAAGCCAAAAGAACAATAATTTAAATAGTGTTTCATCTTCATAAGGAAAACAAACCATGATGACTCATTTTGGCGCTCTATTTATTTTTTTGTTAGTTACATTTAGACAGACTTGATTTTGATTACATGACATGTTTATGAAGTTGATGGGTAAATTCTGTTGTGTTGTATGCATGGGAAGGAGGCAACGGAATTACAGTCCCTTCTCTTTTTTCTTTTCCCCTTTTTGTTCCTCTCAGCGTCATCCAGGGCTCCCCATTACGCACAAATGTGCGTATATTACCCCTTAAGCCTGCAGATTACCCCCTTTTAGTTTTGGTGGTGCGTGAACGTTACTCTTTAAAATTTCGTTTCGGGGGTTTGCATACACTTTAAGACATAAATGGTGTGCGTCTGGCAAGCATCATTCTCCCCCTCCACCCCGAAGCTGAGTCAATGATTTGACAATTGACAACACACCCGCACGCATAGGCTAGGCCTCCGTGCTAGGCCTACACGGCACGACTGTCACCTTTTGTCAGAAGCAGTCGACCTACTTATCATCTGCGCGCAGTTTCCGACAACACAGGCCTGCTTCAGCAGAGAACAAGCTCCGCCCACATTCTGGTAGTAAATTTGCTGGTGTCGTGCCTTGAGTTTACCCCTGCCGTGAGATTACTCCAACAGACCGGGCTACTCATCCCGATTTTTTGCCTCAAATTTCAAGCATCCCAATTTTCCCGATTTCGATCGCGTGTATCCCGATTTTTTTTGTTTCTTTAAACTTACTCTGCCTTCTCCTCTGTCGCGGGAAGCACCCGTTAAACTTTTTGTCAGCAGAAACTCGGGAGCACAATTTCCCGAAATATCAATGCTGAATTTAGTAGATCTAGTTGAGTCGCCCCAAGTTGTGTTGGATCTTTGCTCGCACATGTTATTTCCACTATATGTAATGGAAGTTGTGTCGATTTGGCATTCCGACTTGGGACATTCTCAAGATCTACTTTTGCTTTTGTTTCCACTCAGAATTCCCCGATGATGGCCTGATAAATGTTTCAGTTGCGACACATAAATTTAAATGATCAATATTAATCGTAGTTCTGCTGTTACTTTTCAAAACAAACTTTGTCAAAATTCTGGTTAGTCAGGCCCGTCATCAAGACCTGCCGGTAAAACTGTTTCAATCGCACATTTGCATCACATGACTTCTGCGTTTGAGTTCCACGTGTGGCGGGGTCCGTCTGTTGATGGGGTCAACTTAAGTCCATGCACACTGGTTGAAGCATCTTTCGAGACTGTCGGGGTGCGGGGAGGGAGGTAGAGAGTCCTTGATGTGATACTTCAGGATTTAAAAAAATAATGATGACACACAGAGCAGAACAGAGGGCATATATATAATATTTATGGACATCCGTGGAAAATTTGAAGTCAGGTTGGCAGTCACCCTGGTGATTTGTCGTTGATCCTGATTTCCCCCCCCCTGAGATACTGATTTTTAGATTTCATAGATTAGAGAAGCAGGTCTGCCCCCATCCTTTTTTAACACAAGTAGTCATGAATTGTCCGTCATTTAAAAAATTTTTAAAAAAAAATTGAAAGTCTGGAAAGACTGGAATGTGAACCCTGGGATGGCTCTATACAATAATGACTCAGTTTATTTTCTTTGTGTATATATATATTACCTTTCGGTTTGTCAACGTTATTAAATTTTGGATTGGCCCAACCACCACCAGCCTCCCCCCCCCCCCTTTCCAAGTGAACACAACCCTTATTCTAGGCAAAATTACTCATTTGTCTCTTGTTACATTGAAACCTTACAGTTAATTAAAAATCGTTGGCCTTCAGTCATAGTCATGGTCACTTTCTGTGTGAATGTGTGTGTGAGTTAAATGTTTAGATGCAAAAATTCTTACTATGAAATTAGGAGATTATAATTTACTTTTCAGGATTAGTTTTTCAGACATAAACAAAAAACCAACAACCCTTTAAGTTTCTAGACCAAGGGTATAAATAACCCTTAAGATAGAAAACCAAAGGGTGAAGGAACCTCTTAAGTTGGCCTGAAAAGGGGAGCCCTGTCATCAGTGATGTCAGGGTGAATACCTTTTGGGTCTGTCAGTGGTAATTTTCTTTGAATGTGAAATCTGTTGTAGGTTGTACAGTTTCTCTTCTATTTGTAGGGGGATTTGATTTTTATGCCAAGACTATGAGAAAATTAATAGTAATCTAAGGTTTAAATATTGTATTTTTGGGGTATTATTTTCTTGATTCTGGCATGTCCATATATTTGTTATATTTTGTGCTTTTCATGTACTTGAACTGTTAGAGCTGGGTTTTTTTTTTAATGAGTTGTCATGGTCATGTAATTAAGTTTGAACTCTCTAAAGGTTGAATGGAGCATCCATGGTCCATTACATTGAAATCGAAAGTCAAACTGCTGAATGAATTTAAAATATAGTAACAGCTGTCTGTGATACCTGTAATGTGTGTCGTATGGGCAGGTTTGTTTATATCGGGGTACAGAAAAAAGTTTTCAATTACTAAACCGTTTTCATAATCTTTTGTTGTTATTTTATGGAAATCAGTGTTTTCATTTGGGATGAGTTTGTGGGTTTTTATTTTTCGGTGGTTGTTTTCATTAAGGCATCATTTTTTTCTTTCTATTTTTAGCTATTTAGATTGTTGTGTCTTTGAGTTTTTAAGAAATGTTGTTTGATGACTGACATTTGTTGACATTACTTATACATTTTTTTCCTCTGTTACAGGCCAAGTATGGCAGATCAGGATTTCAATTTATTGGCGTTCTTGAAATCTCACTATCCGACAATACCTATCACTATCGTTTTGAAAGTGATGAATAAGGTAAAAATAATGTGAAGACCTAATTTTTATGTTGTGTCTGTGTTTTGTTAGTATATCATTATTATATCATGCGGAGTCGTCAACTAGTGAACTTTTCCTACACTTTTTTTACTTCTATTGATCACAGTGAAATTGAATTGTCAACGTATTTGCCAGAATTGCTGGTTTGTATTAGCTTTGACTGTCTGCAATGTTCTTTTCAAACTTTTCTTCAATGTGGAGGATAATTTTAACATGGAAAGGTCTTAGTCCTTCTCCACTGCAGCAGTTTGTGATAAAATTCTCCCCTTGTCCCGTTAATGACATGCAGCTGTGAAGCTGTTAGACCTGGTTTATTGTGTTAACTTGTAAAGAAACATATGCGTGTCTGTTTATGATTTTTTTAAAGGGTTAAGGTACTGGTTGTTATTTTTACTTTTTGTTTGAAAATGTTAAATATGACCTCAGAAAAATGGCACACACTGTCTACAAAACATCTAGTCTATTTTTCTGTCCCAATTCTTTGGCTATCATATGAAACATGTTGTCTATTTTGGGGTAGTAAGTATGAAGCCATCTGTTAACGTTACTATAACCGCAAGGACTGAATGCATAAAACGTTTTCGAATACAATGAAAGATTACACTGGTGACTTGCCATTGGCTGGCCATGTTTCTAGATTACAGAATTTTAAAAGCTGATTGTTCCCTTTTTGGGTCACGGCAGGCTGGGAATGTAAAAGACATGCAGCTGTAAAGCAGGTAGACTTTGTGCACTGTGCTAACTTGTAAAGAAAATGTGCTATTTTATCATTTTTAAAAGTGGTTTGAATATTTTTGTCATTTACTTGTAGCATGGATGCTTACACAGCCGCCATACATTCCCTGTGTGTGTTTTAATTTTTCAGTATGACAATGATCAAGACAGATGTCGACAAGCTCTGGACGAAGAAAAGTTAAGGTTTCCAGAGGTACCTGAAAGTACAGCAGCCTCTGGGTCTAATGCAAGTATCAGCACCAACAACATGATCAGCCCGAGTGAAATAAAGTCTGTCACCAGCCGTGTTCAGGAGCTGGAGGTGTCCCATGAAGGAAACTCTCGGCAGCCTGCTCCAGGGGAGAGACATGTCAGCACGTTTGAGAGATCAGTCATGGGTACTCCAAGGCTCCCTGATTCAAGGCGTCCAGTCGTTGGTCAATCTGTTTCGTGGACTGTGCAGACTCCAGAAAGCCAATCTTCTCAGGGTATCACCCCAAGGCCACCTCCTGGCAATACATCCGTTCCACAGACAGCCCCAGCAGATTTCACGCCTTTTATCTTCAACCGCTCCACAACAGACATACCGCAGATAAATTGCAAAACACACACGCCTTTCGGAAATACAACCCCCAAGTCTCAACAGATGTCTATAACTGCTGGAAATTCGTCTTCAGCTTCAAGCAGCCCTGGGGAGCAGCGCAGACCTGTGAAAGTTATCAACATTCCTCCGGGCTCGCTGTCTGGGGGCTCTGTGTCACCTGCAGCAACGCCGCCTAACTCCCGCCATATCCGCATGCATTTCGGTGACACAGGAGGAGTGTGCACGGTGTCAACGCCCCCTTCCAGCATGCAGCGGTATGGATCCACGCCAAATGTCAGTCAGCATTATAGAAGTGAGATCCGAACTGAGGCCAGTGCCGCACAGCCTGTTCACTCTTCGAGTATAGTTCTGAATACAACTAGCCACAGCAACCATTATGGTGCTGAGAAAAAACTGAGCAACAGCTCAATAGACTGTGGCAGTGAGCACAGAACAGCGCACCCTAATCTTAACCTCAACATGTCAACAGGTGATTCAAACCAAGGAGCTTTCTTTTCAAGTGGTAAACCCCTATCCACACCAGTTCAGGCTTCTTCTCCTGGTATTTCTCATTCAAAACCGGTTTTCACCGAAGTGAAGAAAGATGTAATAGGTGGATATGGTGACGTCAACTTTCACAATTTCTTCCCAGGCAGTACGGTGAGACCACCACCTCCCCCATCCACTGTGTCTAGTTTTGTGCCTCTTTCAAATGTGACCTTCAACCCCCATGGCACTGTGAATTACACACCTCAATATGTGGACTACAGCAACCCTTCCGATTATGCAGGAAGCCAGCCTTCACAATCTGAGCCCTACTCGAACAACCCCATGCTCATGCATCCTAGCTACCGGAACCCACCTGCTAACCCGTATCTGCCTTCATCAAGCAGTGGCTATGACCCTAAAGTTTACCCCCCAATGGGCAGTACTGGTCTGAACTTTACCACCATGCCTGCAGCCATTGTGGGTCATGGGACAGGCCCAAACCATATGCCCCAGTACCCAAACTACAACCACCACCCCGGAGGCGGCCTGCATCATATGCCCAAAAGCCCAAATATCAGTGGAGGGGCTCAGTCATTGCTGGGCAGCCGGTCGAGCAGCCAGGACAGTGAGCACAATGTGAGTTACGGGATGTCCCCAGATTTCATGGACTCCCGGACAGGCCACTATAGCAGCATGGGGTCTCGCGTGTCTAGTCAGAGCAGTGTTGGTTCCGACTCGTCTGCCCGCCTGGAGCGAGAGCGGATGGAGCAGGTGACACGTCCTCGCTCGGGGAGTATGCAGGAGGAGGCTGATTATACCAGAGGTGAGTGTCCATATTGTCATTTACAACAGGCTACTAACTTTTCAAAGAAATTAATCTGATAGTATGATAAGATTGTCTCTTGTAGTCGTGATTCTCTGTGGAAAATCAGGAGACTTTTCTTCTTGAGTGCTTTTTATGTTTTATGAGGGGGGGGGGGGGGGGGGGGATCAATAATGATTGATACTTAATTTTATAGATATTATGCTTTTGACTGACTGAAGTTTTGAGAAGGCACACCTCTTCTATGATTTACTTGCTTTACTTTCTCTTTCTACTGATACCGGTTGGCATCGTAGGAATATATTTATACTGCAAGCATCATGCAGTCAACTGTCTGCAGGAAGTGGCTGAGAGGAGAGACATGTTGTGTGTTCTGATGGGGTCTGCACTGAGTTCTTTAAAATTGTATCACAAAGGGAATAGGGCTAGATGTGACTGGTTTCTTTCAGCTGTAGCAGTTTTTTAACTCCTTGGGAGATAAAAAGGATGAATTTGTAAAATGTTACGCACAACGGTAAATATCTTTCTCAACTTTAGGAAGTATATATAGTTTTTGCAGTTTAGATTCTGAGGAATAATTATTATCTCTTTGGCCCGTACTCTGGTCATTTACAGCACCCTGGCCATACTTGTTTTAAGTGTACATGCTACCATTGTAATGGGGGTTATAATGCATTTTTCCCCAGCACTACTTCAACATCAAAAGCTGAGGAAACAGAAGCTGAAAGAGGAAACAGATCACCACACAGCCGTACTGAAAAAACTGCGGTCAGAGGTCAATGAGCTGGAGAAGAACAAGATAGACAGAGGGCATGTCAACAAGTCTTTTCCCTCTGTGAGTATTCATTGGCATTATTCATTTCATGTCAGTTATGTGTACTGTTACTTGCTGTGCTTTTGATTGTACAAGTTTTTTGCAAATTACAGTGTCCTGTTTGGGAATTTGTTTTCTCTTGGGGGGGGGGGGGACATCAATTGTGCAGGGGAGGTTGACTATTCATTTTGCAATAGCTAACAACTTTATGTGATTGAATGTGTATAATAGATGTATGTCTCTTTCTATATGTGTGTAAGTCTCAGCTCATTGGATTTGATAGATTTTGTCATAATTTGTTACTTCTGAATCTTACATTTGATGTTTTATTTCCGACTGCAGGTAGAGGACATTGGTGTGTTGTGTGAGAAGAATCGACAACTGCAGACTAATATACAGCTATACATGAATGAAATAGACATGTACAAAAGTGGGCAAAGTAAGTATCTGAAAGACATTTGCACAGGCCTGTTGAATGTTTTTGGTATAGATCTGTGCTAATTGGATCATTTTGCGAACAATACAAACCTACATTCATCTTCGCAAGCTGGTCCTTTTGATGTCTGACCCTGTGTCCGGTAGTTCAGATAAGACATGTTTTTCCAGTGGCTTTTTTAATATCAGCAGGGTTAAAATGTTACCACTGACTTCCTTTTTAATTAAGATTTTAACCGTTCTGTCTCATTTTAAATTTGTTTGGAATATTTTTTCT